TTGGTGCCTCGGGCACCAGGCACTCATAGCGTGCCTTCCTCTCTGAAATCACCGCTTTGACCGTTGAATATGAGGTCAGTGAGAGCCCTTGCCTGTCTCGTCTCGTTATGGAAACAATTGTTTACCGAAATTAACCCATTTGACTGCCTTTCTCCTTTTAGGGGCCATCGGATTCGACTCTCCTATCTCTCCACTGTCCCCTTAGATGCCCTCAAGGTGTGTGGCACATTGTCTGTTTGGCTAGGCACTTGACCTCGGAAGCAGCGAAACGGCCGTTATCATCCATCTATGCCGAGGAGTCGTCGAAGCCACAACTCCTTCCCCTGAACGGAATCTGCCCTGCCTGCGAAAAAGCGGAATTCCTTTGGCCAGAGCTACTAGCCAGTCAGCAGCCGGGAACTTTCAAGTGATGCGCAGGAGACGACTAAATGTACAGACTGAAGATTTGCGACTAATTGTGCCTTTTTTCTAAAACTACATTTATTATCCGTCGTCTCTGTTTTCATTTGCCTGGTACATTTTACTACTGAAAGGGAGGATGAGCGGTTCGGTAGACAATCTGCAGGGTTTACTGGTGCACCCGAACACCCAAAAGAGGACCGCATGTCTTTAAAAATTTATTTAGAAAGAAGGGGAAGAATCTCATCAAACATGGCGTCGCGGTTGCTCCGGGTGACCTATTGAAAATGAGAGAAAAACAGAGATCAGTTTCCGAGAACAAGACAGATGTGCCTGCCATATCTTAATTGCATGGCAGTATAAGAAACAGACAGAGTAGGAGAGCGCAAACAACACCAATCCTCATGTTGAAATTGATGCATACCGCGGTGGCGAATGACGTCGGTCATTCTCACTCCTATATCTAGTTCGTGACGACGCGCGGATGATATGGCCACCATTCCATCGGTAATGGGGGAGGGGGGGAGAGAAGGGGGCTCTTATTACTTGCACCAGGAGGGGCGCAATTTGCTACTCACAGCTCGAGAACTCGCCAGAGGCGGACGGGCCCCTCTGGGAGAGCCTGCCGTATGCCCTGCTTGGGCTCAACTCAGAAAGCAGGGGGGATGGGTGCACCAGACTGAGTCAGTCGAATAAAAATGTATCTTCCAGGGCATGGAAATGGCTGGGGTGTGGTGCTAGGTGGTGACGGTGAACTTCAGAGCTGGGGAGCGTCCTTACCTCGCGTAAGACTGCATTCGGTCGTCTTACGAGTGAGTCAACGAGGGGGATTCCACGTAAGCCGTCCGACCGAGTGGCAGCCGGGATAGTGGCAATGAGATGTGCCCGGCTTTCTGGTGTTGAGATGGCAGCAATAAGCTGTTCAACCTTGGCCCTGAAAGCGCCCGAAAATAGCTCCATTTTTCCGATTTCGTCGATGAGGACGTACGTTGGGTCCTCGACGGCGTCACCTCTTCGTTGGGTGCTGGCGAGTGCCATCTACAAAGCGGACAATTGGTTCAGCTTTAAATCTGGCTCCAGACGAACTGCACATCAAAGGTACGCGCTGACAAAGACAGGAACACTGTTCGCCGTTACAAGCCAGTGACACCCCAGCTCTGCGTGAGAGCCTCATTTGTTTGCATCTGTTTCATCGGAAACTAATGCCCTTAACTGATGCTCAGAAGCTCCCCGTAAGATTTATGGAAACCTTCCAGTGACAACAGTGTCCAGTCAGGTGAATTCATACGACCCACGTATGGGCGCGTTAGGTCACTCGAAAATCAGACAAGACAATACTGCCGATGGGATAGGAGTGAATAATTCGCGGAGAGACGCATGACTGCTGGACAAAGTGACAAAATTCTGGCTGAGAAAGACTGGTGTCGAGCGTATCGCCTGTGCGATCGGAAGATCGCAGCCGCCTTGAGGTAGTCGATGGACCAGTTTTCCTACATTCAAGAGACGAGGATAAAGCCCATCAAGCACACTTTTCCCAGTCGTTAATTGACATGACTCGGTCACGTATTGAACCGATCCGACGGCGGGAGTGGCAAAAGCATTGTTAGTGCAGACCACAAGCGCGGTCAAAGGTACTGGCTGGCTCAGTTTTGCCCGCCACTATGAAAAGCAATCGTGATGTCATGACCAGGCAGTTATGAGGCTGGCTGAGCCATTAATACCGTGACAGTAACTACTTACTTCCAAACAGGGAATCGCAATCTTCTCGAATTCATTGACAGTGACGGAGTATCTTCCGACGCGAGGCAGGTGCCTAAGATACTCCGGTGACCGGGAAAAGGAGGTCTGCAGGCGAGCCAGCGAGCTGCGTTCGTTGCCGGAGAGTTCAACTACATCAAACCCGAGACGTCCTGCGCGGGGATCCCTTACTTCCTCTGTGATAAACCCGAGAACGGTTGCTCTTTCCTTCAGAACTTTAGCCAGACGCGAAACGAGGGTTGTTTTCCCAGTTCCTGCAAACGTAGAGGGATGAACTTCCTTTGGATCGAGTACATAAAAGTTGGAACACATCTGGACCACACCTCCGATGAACGCATGGCAAACACACAAACCCTTTTCGGTCAGGGCTACATAATTTTTGACCATCATTCCTGTATATACACAGGAAATTGTCAGCTTCAACTCATGATACAGCAGCTATAACATTGATAACAGATAATAAATAAGTAATAGAGGTTAAGAGAGAGAACAGGCCGGACATTATTTGTTGATGTGGTGACAATCTTTGCCCTGGTACTACAGAGCGCAACTATATGGAGGCTGACATGTTGAAATACAGAGGTCGCCTGCTCTTCCAGTTCATGAATCAAACAGCGCCAAAGTGTTAAGCACCTTTGCGGACGGTCAACCATGACAACCACAAATTCGGGACATATCCGTTAAACTCCCCAAAGACGACATTGACTGGCTCCCGCATGAGATACACACTTGGTCACTGCGTTCATATCGCCCTTGTTCATAGGCGCGAGCGGTCTAAAGCCGGCCGCACGTCTCTGGTTCAGACCGCCGAAGAAAATAAACGCATCCTACAGCGGGATCCGAGGCCAGACTTGTTGTGGTCAGAGTGTGTCAGTTGCTCTAGTTGTCAACATATCACCCAAGTCTCAGAAACTGGCTTCTGAGGTGCTTCCTCAAGCCGGACCGTTCTGTTCTACCGACAGACCAGACCGGTGTTAAAATAGGTCATTTCTCATATACTCCAGACCGCAACGACGTTAGTGGCAATGGTGCACTGGCGAACGACTGGTCAAACATTTTATGTTTGAGATCGCAACGAAGGGAGCCGAAAAATAAACCTCTACACAAACGATCTGTTCCCGAGTATGTACGGGGCCATAACAGATGAGCCCCGTGAGCCTATGGACGCCTAGAATCGGAGTTTTTGTCAAAAGGTGAAATGGACCGTCGAATAGGAAGAACGCATGGTCCTCGATAAAAAACTTCGGAATCTGCGTGAAACGCAACTAGGACGAGGGTATAAGAGGCACTCTCAGGGGGATCCTTCATCGTGCTGCATTCCCTCCTTAATATTGTAAACAATGACCAGTCCATTTTGGAGGCTGAATATCGACGACCGAGCAGTTGTGAGGAAGCGCGTCCCACCATCGCGGACGTGGTCTGCATCCTATGATATAATTACACAGCGAGATCTCCAGGATGGATAATCGCTTTTAGCAAGTTTTGTGTTGATTTACTTGGCAGTTAGTGGAAGTTCACGCGTGACCATGAACAGGATGCCAATGACATAGTTTCCGATACTCAAAAACAAGTGTGGCGCAAGAAGCGCCCACGGTAATCAGCTCCACCCAATTTACGGCAATGCATTTCTGATGTTCTGATCACTTTAATGCGCTGGTTGTCAGAAAAAGTCTCCCTACAGATGTTTTATGATATAGTGGCGCTCACTGATCAAGTTCGCCTTTCAGCATGCCGAAATTCTAGGCCGAGGGAACGACCACATATCCAGGGAAACAATTGAGGCTTAGCACACGAGGACAACCTCCATCAACGGTTGTGTGGCTCTTCCCACTGCCTACCAAGCCCTTCGGGCGCAGCTCAGTGAACAAATGAGCAGACGTGCACCCAGACTAAACAGGAATCCAGACATAAGCGAGTCCATGGCGGATACACACTCAGCCACTCCTCAACCGGGTTCCGACGAAGGCGCAATCCTCACCACAGCCGGTCCATCTACTAGTCCGGCGGACGAGAAAACGGACAGTCGTTGCGGCGTAAACAAGATTGTCAGGCTTGGACGACAGCTACGGTCAATGAAGGTACGAACGACGGCCACCAACGTCTCAACGCCGGCCCCCGGTGTAGATTGAGTACATTCCGTCACCCTCCCTTCCTCCTCCCGTCTACCACAGTCCCTGCGTGCATACGGCTGATGACCACTAAAGCTGATACACCACCCCCTCATCCGGCGACAAGACGCTCTAGGACTCCCTCCCCGCCCCTTTCTTCGTGTCGCCCTGACTACACATGTAAAAAAACCCATCTTAACACGACTGTCACCCAACTATAAGTACTGTGAGACGCGATAACACACTCACATCCCACGATGGAAGCTTGTTTGCTTTTGAAACATCAGTACAGTAAAACTATGGCTCCCGAAATCATCTTTGCTTCTCATTTATGTCCGGGGACGCGCATCTTTGCTTCTATTGGCAATATATATACACATAAATTTTCCAGAATACTTGATTGAAGGCTACTGTACGAACCTTTTGTACGATAAACAGCAGAAAATGCTAATTCGGACTGATTGGAGACTTGGACGTAATACTACCATACTCTAATTTAACACTACTCGATTAAAGACTTTTACATTAAGAAGCGCGTATCTCACATGCACCAGATACCTGGACTGCCCGTGATCAGAAGAATCATCAGTGGAGCAAGAGATGCCAGGAGAGGTACGAATTACCACCAACGAGATACTTTGGATTGACTGACGACCAATGCGGCGTTATCAACCACCTGTAATGACCTACAAGGGTTAGTGTAAGTAAGCGTCACGAAGTCCAATATGCACGCCACGTATCAAATGACAAGAGGATAGTACTTTTGAACCGCAATATGGTATAGTAACAAAACTGAGAAATAGTTAGGACTAACAAGACAGTAAACGAAAGGGAGCAATGATGTCAATAAATTGGGAGGTTAATGAGGACGGTGAGGGGAATGCGAAAGGGGGCTTAATTAAAGGGTTGCCGCCAGGGTTCTGTTGGCTTGCAGAAAGGTTCGTGGCCCTAGACTCCGATTCTGAAGAGGCAATAGGGTCGTCGGTGAGTTTTGCTTACAGGAGGAAGTCGTGCCGTGACAAACCTTTCACGGTACTACTCGCTGTTAAGTTGGAATAACCCAGCATTAACCTTATTTCCTCCTTCAGGGTCTGCCTTCAGGCCCGCGAACACTTCAGGCAACCAACAGAACCCTGACGACAACCCTCTTATCTAGTTATTTTTCACATTTTGCAGTCGACTGCATTTCCCTGGTTTTGTTAATTTTCTAATTATTTTACACCGTCCCTCCCTCCCGTTGTACTCTATTGTTTATATAAATTTCATTATCTCGCTACCACCATAATAATTTATTACTCAAAGTGCTTGTATGTGCTACTTTAGGGTGACTCCGCACTAACAGCACAGGCAGTAGCCAAAGGCGTGTTTTGCCGATATTCTGTCGCTGCATGATACAGCTGCGAGGGGTTCGGCTCGTCAGTGAGTCCCCAGCATTCCCTGTCTGCTTTCTGGTTGATACTCCAATGTAGAAATTGCAGCTTTTTAATTTCCATAGAAATTAAATGCGAACTTGGGATAGATCAGTATCTTCAAAGTCTATAGGCTCAGACCAAGGTTTTTATGTATGAATGTTTGTATGGGCTGAGCCTGTTCGTGACCTTTGTGATGTATATCATCTCTGCTCCTTCAGTTCGTCTTCCCACTCCCTTCCTTTGTGCACCTTTGGATTGTCCTCTACCTGCCTCTACTACACCTGCATACTGTCTGACCGGTGTTTTTCCAGTTATGCAATGTACTCGATCCACGTCGGCGGCTGCTCCCCCAGCATCAACCAGGCTCCTTAGTCATTGTCAGCAACTACAGAGTCCCCTAGACCCTTGATATACGAGGTCAGAAATAGTATATACTATCTCTGACAAAGGAAGGAGACTTATACAGCCATCAGACGACGAGCACAGAGTAGGCGTCCCACCATTTCTTTTCTGTAATCGGAACTCTTTCTTGGTCCAATACATCTAGTGTATCTAGGTGTTGTGAAGAAGCTGCAGAGTTTATGGGTGAAGAGTCGTCGGCCGAAGGCGATCAATCGCAGAACGCCATCCATTCTGAAGTCCACGGAGGTTGAGGCAATAGACGATAAGTCACGTTTACTCAACATCTACCTTCCTGCTGAAGTTCCTCAGCGAGGTAGGTGATAAAGTGACTTTGATACACGGAAAGCAACAGAATTTATGCAGTTTGTACTGTGCGTGGGCGTTGTTGTCCCCTGTGAAATTCTGCCTCACAGTCATTGCAGCCCTTACCTACTGCTCTTAGACTACCAGCCAGGCTTGACACTTCTAGTAATAATATAGGTCACTGTAAGCACTTGCTGCAAATATTTACTCGCAATTTTTTTGCCTTATACAGTGAGGAGCACACGGTCTACAATGTGCACAGCATTAGGCACACTGCAGAGGATGTTCAGCGTCCGGGGACGCTTGACACTTTTCCATCTTTTCCAGTTGAAAGTTATTTAGGCAGACTGAAGGTACTGCCAAGCAGATAGCAGGACGCCTCGGCTATTTAGAGGCAGCTGTATACAGCAAATCCAAAATTTCATCAACACGGTTGCCTTATAGACACAATTCCAGGCCACTTCTACCAGAAGGCGAAAGTAGTGAACATCAGTGCATTATCACAGGAAAATATCGCGTTGACATAGCACCGGCCAATAGATCCATTAGCGACCAGATAGTATGCGTCAAGAACGTGCTATCTGATAAACGGGGATGCCCTTAAATAGCATCTAGCAGATTTATTAACTCGTCTGATTACTTTGATTTGCCGAAAAAAGTCCTCTCTTTTAAAGGTGTATAAAGCTGATGTCAATAGTACTTTCTACTATTTGCCGTTGCCAGCCAGTTCTCCCAAGTATATATTTTAATATAAATTAACGCCTCTTAAGGAAACCTTGCTTCTTATTCAGCCGCTTACAGTCTTTCGCTTTCACGAACAATGCCCGTGAACCCTACAAACGCACAATCATGATAGGGCGAGGTTTGTGGGCACTGAAGGGAGGAGGTAACGATATTGACAAAATGGCTCCTGAACTTCATCTACATTCTTTTCGGTGTTTATAGATATCGTCATGAGAAATATACCAATTCGCAGACAACCGCAAAGAGAGCGACGATCCCCGTTTGATGAGGCTATCTGCCTTTTGGATGGAGAAGCCACTGTGTCACCGGTAAGTTACGTCCGCCTGAATTTAAGAAAAATCAATGCTTCCGATGAAGATCCTACGACACACTGTCGGCAGGGGACCGGTCGACGATGGATGGTAAGACCTCGTACAAATGTAAATTCTTCTGTAGAATCCCAGGATGGGGGATGAGGCGTGCTATGTGCCAGCACATAAATACTACGTCGATTAGACTGGACTACGTAGTAGAAGCCAAAAGACGCATCCTCGGGCGACTGAGGGAACTGGACGCATACGTCCTTCACCGACCCTCGGCACCCTCCGAGGTAGTCGGTCAGCTCATAAGTTCCGTGACCGATTTCCGGCAGCTTAACGTTTCGTGTCTTGCATGTCTAGGCGGCAGAACACTTGATGACTTAGTCAAGAGAATATTTTACTCCATCTTTAAGGATGAGGCTAACGTCTACGTTAAGTCTACAGGCCGTAAATTGGAGGAAAACCTCTCGGACTCAAAAGTTTATGAGGTAATGACCGATAAGCATGTATGACTAAAGTCACTTCATCATATGCAGAGGCATTCTCGTCTTGAAACGGTAATAGCAGTACCACGCTCTCTCAGTTAGAGGCTGCCTTCACAAGGTGACAGCTATGTGAAGCATGTGCAGAATTACCAGGCTGCATTCCACTCCAGTTGTCGTTGAGTAACAGGCTTTAACTTATTCCAAACGTTTTGACAACAATTTACTTGGAAGCCCTTGAAGGACTCCATTTAATTTATGCACATACTTTCCTTCTTATAGTACTTTTCAATACGCTTTTCTCCATGCTTACTCGTCATATGACGCCTACATAGACGTACTGATGAACGAGGTAGTAGGATTTGTAGGCGCGGGATTAAATAAAATGGCAAATTTAAGGGTGCAGTGCAAGAAGATGTGCCAGACGAAAGACTACACGTGCTGCCTTCATAGGTTTTTAGTGTATCTCAATAAGTTGGTATTGAGGCGGTCTAAAATGTCTTCAGTTCGGTGTCCTTATCTCAAAAAATGATATCTTCCCGATATTGAGAAGATGTAAATTTGCTATTAATGCATACCATAATATTTGGGCATGTACCACAAAGTTTACAAACAGGCGTGGCGCATTAAATAAAAGAATAAGAGCGCTCTTAATAATACAGATGTAACTTTTTCTGTAGAATCCCAGGAGCTTTCTATTTATGATCAGCTCCGGGATATGAGGCGTTCTGTGTGTCTTATATGCGGTGCATATATGCACCGCAGAACGATGTAAAATAATTGAGTAATTCGTATGATTGTCGCGGGACTACGAAAGATGGAAAACCACTAGGTAAAATAATTATAGGCAGAATAGTATTACCGACAAAAACAAGGGAGACTGGAATGGCCATCTCCGGCCTATTAGCCGTCGTCAGCCAGTCGTACTCAACCCCGAAGTGTGGAACATCCCAGGCTCGAACTCGAGACCTGTTAGTAAGAAGTCCGCGCCACTAACCACTGGGCCCGTTGTCCTGTCGATTGTGATCGGGAATATACAATGGTGGAAGAGCGCTCACCGATCGTTTCTACAGAACTCACTCGTCCCGTTGTGCCATAGGGTTCCCTCTCGAATCCAGCCAGCAGACGCACAGCGGCGCATGATATAGGCAGAATGACACCACGGACAGCGGGCCCGTGGCCCAGTGGTTAGAGGCATGGGCTTCTAACTAACAGGTCGCGAGTCTGAGCTTCGGGTGTTCCACACTTCGAAGTCGGGTTTGACTAGCTAACGACGGTTAATAAGCCAGAAATGGTCATTCAAGTCTCCCTTGTCTTTGTTGGTAATACCAGTCTGCCTATATCATGCACCGCTGTGCGGCTGCTGGTTGGACTCCAGTGAGAGCCCTAAGGCACAACGGGACGATTGAGTTCCGTAGAAACGATCGGTGAGCGCCCCTCTACCAAAATAATTATCGTTGGGATTCTGTTGACTGCCTAAAGTACTCGCGGGCCTAGAGGCGAACCCTGAAAGAGAAAATAAGATAAATGGGCACCAGACCAAGCTGGCAGAGAGTAGTGTCGTGACAAACCTGTCACGAGCCCACTCGTTTACTGGTACTTTTTATCACACACAGTTTTTATTTTCCCTTTCAGGGTAAATCTCGAAACGCATTAACAACACGAGCAAACGAAGTAATCCCGATACCAATCCTTTCACCTAATTATTAATATTTTTTTCGCTTTAGCCGCGTTCCCTGTAGTCTTTATATTATACTTTCCTACAAATTTCTCTTGCCATTCGTGTCGTACTGTGATAGTAAATTTACTATCGCAGTGACTATTATATCGGTATTTCATTAAGAGCATTATACTTCTGGTATTTAATGGGCGATATGTGCGTGTCAATTATTGTAACGACCTACGGATCGAACCCAAAAGGGTAAAAAATTCTATTGGGTAGTA